TCCTTTTCAGTTCTTTAGAAATAAAAAACATATTCTTAAAGATTTTTTTAGAAATCATAGAAATATCAAAGTAAGGTTTGTTTTAGTTTGTATGATGGAAAAAAAGGAAGGTGATTATAAATTAAGTTTTAAAGTTCAGGATAAAGCATATTTTCATTCTAATACATATATTAATTTTAAAACAAGTGATGTAAAAGAATTACTTAGTAAAATTATTAGAGAAATTATTGAAAAGATAACTTTATATCAACAAAATGGTAGTGGGTGGTATTTTAAAGAAGTTGTTCAACTAGAAATTCATACCACTGAATTTAACCCAATGAAAGGTTCTTCTTATATTCCTCTTCCAGATTGGATTATGAGAAAAAAAGCAATTGTTAGTATTCGAAATAAAGATGAGAAATGTTTTCTTTGGTCAGTACTTCGTTATCTTCATCCAAGAGAAAAGAATGATTGTCGTTTGAAAGATTTAGAAAAGTATGAATTTTCACTTAACACTAAAGGAATTACTTTTCCAATGAAAGTAAAAGATATTACCAAATTTGAAAGTCTTAATCCAGATCTTCCCGGAATAAATGTTTTTTCTGTAGATGATAAAAAAACTATTTATCCTTTGAGAGAGGTAAAGAAAGATTGTAAAAATACTATTGATTTATTTTTGTATGAAGAAGATGGTAAATTTCATTATTCACTAATTAAAAACTTCTCTCGCCTTATACGTAGTCAAATTACTACAAGAACAGATGAACCAATCCAAATTTGTAAGAGATGTTTTAGTCATTTTACAAAGGAAGAATTATTAGATAATCATATCAAATATTGTAGTAGCAATGCAACAGCGATTGTAAAAATGCCTGAACCAAACACAATGCTATATTTCAAAAATTATTACAAAAAACTTCCTATTCCTTTTGTAGTTTATGCAGATTTTGAATGCTTTACCAAACCAATGAATAGTTGCAGTCCTAATCCAAAAGACTCTTATAATTACAACTACCAAAAACATGAACCATCAGGATTTTGTTTTTATGTAAAGGGGGTAGTTGATAAAAAAATTAAACCAATTATTTATACAAAAACTTCTGAAGATGAAGATATATCAAAAGTATTTGTGGAAAAACTTGTGGAAGTAACTAAAGGAATTTATAATGATTTTTATCAAAAACCAAAACCTCTTAGACTAACTAGTGCAGAACAAAAATCATTTGAGAAAGCAGTTAATTGTCATATTTGTGGTGGTGAATTAAAAGAGGATAAAGTTAGAGATCATTGTCACTTTACAGGCCAGTATCGCGGAGCAGCACATAACAAATGTAATCTTATGTGTCGTAAACCAAAAGTATTACCAGTTATATTTCACAATCTTCAGGGATATGACGCACATTTGTTTATAAAACAGCTTGCTAGATTAGAAGGAGATTTAAGTTGTATTCCATCTACAGAGGAAAAATATATTTCTTTTTCAAAAAATATTAAAGTTGGTGAGTACTACTCCCAAAAACTTGGAAAAACATGTCCAATAAATTTTGAAATACGATTTTTAGATTCATTCAAGTTTCTTCAAACATCACTTGCCAATCTTGTTTTAAATTTATCAGCAGATGACTTTCATAATACAAAACATGTATTCAAGAAAAATGTAGATTTACTAACTCGTAAGGGAGTTTATCCTTATGATTATGTTTCATCACTTGATAAATTATCAGAAACACTACTTCCACCAAAAGAGGAATTCTACTCCCAACTTTATGACGAAGATATTAGTGATGAAGATTACCAACATGCAATTAAAGTCTGGAATACATTTGGGTGTAAAACAATAAGAGACTATCACAATCTTTATTTGAAATCTGATGTATTACTTCTAGCAGATGTATTTGAAAACTTTAGAAAAACTTGTCTCAAACATTACAACCTAGATCCAGCACATTATTACACATCCCCAGGTTTAGCTTGGGATGCATGTCTAAAAGAAACAGGTCAGCAATTACAGTTACTTCATGATTATGATATGTTAATGATGTTTGAGCGTGGTATTCGTGGAGGAATAACACATATATCAAAAAGATATGCGGAAGCGAATAACAAATATATGAAAGATTACAATCCTGATAAGGAGTCTAGTTATATACAATATCTCGACGCAAACAATCTTTACGGTTGGGCAATGTCTCAACAACTCCCAACTTGTTATAAGATTTTACTAAGCACTATCATCCATTTCATCACTGTCATTCATTTCATTTATTCTTGATTCCAATTCAAGAATCCCCTCAACAAGTACTTTATCTTCAATAAATAAACCAAGATCATAAAACATCCCTCTAATAATTATTTTATCTTTTTTTATCAGCAAATCAATAAAATACCAATCAACAATCTTAAGATTATCCTTTGTTGGATTAAGAAAATATTTAATTGCAAAACTTACTAGACTAAGCAAATAATCATAAATAATATTTTTTTCCTTCTTGATAATACCTTCAATATATTCCCTGAGTTTAACTGAAAATTTTATATCATCATCATCATCATCCAAACCCTGAAATTCTTTATCCATTATAAAGGGTTGTGAACCCTGAAAACCATTTGCTTGGTTAGACATGATGTCCTGTAATACTTTTATTACAGGACATAAACTTTTAAGTACCAATTTAATTTTCCTGGTCACTGTCTCCGCCACCGTCGTCACTCTCATCACTCTCATTACTCTCATCACTATCATTACTCTCATCACTATCATTATCTTCTTTTTTACAGTATTCTACGATATTAATCTTATTAAAAAAACAACAACCAACTTTGTAATCAGTCTCAAATCTTGTGCCCTCGTAACATAATAAATTTGTTGCATTTTTAAACAAACCATTTATTTCTTCCCCTGCATCGTAATAACTTTCTTTTACATTAATTCTTTTAACTTTATTAAAAAATTCTTTTAAATCAATACTACCATCTTCCACTGATTTAACTATTTGTTCAATATTTTTATCAATATCTTTGAATAATTGGTAATCATCTTCACTATCAAATATTAATCCACCTATTTTGAATTTATTACAAATATTTTTTTGACTTGTTTCTTTGCTTTTCGTTTTAAAACCCATTTCTATTTTGTTATATTTTTTTCTTTAAATCAATTTTATATTTTATGTTTCTAAATAAATAATTATCTAATCATAGAGTAGAGAGAGAGAGTAGAGTAGTGTAGTATAGGAAATGCTGCCATCCCACTAACCTCACTTTTTTTCTACATCTTCGAGCAATGGAGCGATTCTTGTGAACGAATGGAGCAATACGAGTGAGTTGAGTGAACTGAGTGAAATGAGTGAGCGAAGCGAACGAATTGAACGAAGTGAGCGAAACGAACGAGTTTTGCGAAATGAGTGAACAAGGGAGCGACGTTGCGAGATGAGGTAGAAAAAAAGTGAGGTGAGTGGGATGGCAGCATTTCCTATACTACTCCTGAATCTTCAAAACTCCAAAGCAGTTTTCAATATTGAACTTTAGCTCCAGATGGTGAGCAGTCTTTTATTTTTTCTGAGCTACTTCAGTACGAACTGGACGGAGAAAAGGCAGACAGTAAGCACGGTCTACTCTTACTCCGGTCCCCTACTTCAAGAGCTTGGGCTTGTGGGACAAACTTTCCATACGCTAAATTATATACCTTGCCGTATGTTCAAGTTGTACAACAATATCGTAGCACCTGAATACCTATGCTAAAAATATTTGAAAAGGACCACCTACGATACCAGGAGTTCGTCTTCCAGTTTGCAGTTGCAGTTCTAGCCAAAGTAAAACCAATTATGACCAAAATTGTTTGGGTTATAGAAGGGCAATTATTTGGAAAAAATTAACTTATTCTTTACAATAATATTTCGTTCAGAAATTTTAATCACAGATATGAAATTTTAGTTTTACATACATTTTTTCCCATATATGTCATATATAGAGTGAATAGGATATCGATGTTTTTTAATTAAAATGCAAGGCTTTTATGTTAACCATCTTAAGATGAAGAAGTTCTACAAACACGAAGAAGTTCTCGCCCTTTTTTCAAGGGCCTAATTTTTTTAATTCACTTGACAACAAGGTCATCAACTCTCAATTCCTCTCCTCTTTTAAGAAAAAACTGAAGATTTAATTATTGAGTAAGTATGAAAACAGTTCATAAGTCTTTCCATCTTCGACTTTTCGCCTTCTTTTCTTCAATTGATGTGAAACAGCTCTAGCTCATAGTTCGAGGAGGCCTAACCTCTCATAAGCTCCTATAGTTTCTGTTAGGTATCCTCGTCAATTCTTTTTTTCTTCTTTTCCTATATTTTTTGTAATTATTGTGTGGCAAATAAAATAAAATAAATAAATAAATGATAAACTACCGCCCACCGTTAGGTAGTGAAAATGTCCATCTATCTAGATTGATGAATTGTAGTATTGTCATAAAGAAGTTAAATTGTAAAATCCGCCGGCCGAAAACCATTTTACGAAGCTTCATAATCCGTTAAATCCCTATATTTCATCTACATTTACATCACCTTCCCTTTAAGCCAAATGTCTATTTTCCTGTGACGTCAGTTTGCTTTTAGGTTTATTTTCTATTTTAATAGTCCCAGGTCTTTTGTTATTCTTTCTCTTTTGGTATATAGTGTTGTTCAATTTGAAATGATTCCGCTGCGCTGTAATATCTGAAAATGGTGTTTTGCCGGAATTTTAACGCGAAATCTTAACGCAATTGCTATCTCAAAAATGTCAATTCCCCTATTATTGTTTCTCACCATTTTGTGGTAAATAGACAAACTATTCGACTACGTTAAGTGCGCTTGATGGAACACAAGATTTAAAAGTCCTGTCATTCCCTAAATTGTTTTTTCTTTCCTTAATATTTTGCTGCCTTTTCAGTTCTGCGACTAAGCTAAAGGCCGGATTTCGTTTAAAAATATTGTTAAATTATTCAGAGCTGGTAATTTTGTCAGGTAATTGAATTTAATGTTTAGAGCCCTTTTCTCTACTTTCCTCTAAAATGTTGGCCATTAAAAAGATCGTGTAACTAAAACTTTAAATTATTTAGTTACATTTTAACCTGAGGATGATTTCTGCCGCTCTTAGGAAAAACCACTTCAAGGATCGTGTTTGCAAGTGTCTTTTTTGACTAACAGAGCCGCTAAATATAAAACAATTTATTTTTCTTTGAAATAGAAGGGTCTAATGACCAAATCAAACCTATTGTCAAATACTAACGACTTCCAACGAACGTAACCGGGAAAACTCGAGCGAGAACAGAAATTCACGTTATGCATGGAGTTGTAGAGCTAAGCCAACATGGGTTTTCCTGTTTCTAATTAGACGCTTTCTTCACGCAATTCGAACTCTAGCTGAGTCCATCAATTGATTTCCGCACACTTGTCTCAGCAAACTTTGAGGGAAAAATAAAAATAAAGGCTGCTGGTAAGAACTGTTACTTAAGTGATAAGGTGTGTTGGTCAATTATTTGGCTTAGCAGGAAACAGCAGGAAAATGAAATTAAAAATTAGTGGGACTTTTCAGCGATGGCTTCATGGTCTGCGAAAAGTTCTTAAATTCTACTATCAAAATATTTGCATATAAAAAGAGACGGCGGCAAACATGTTTTGTAATTACAATTTTGTTCTCCGGTGATTGTTCTGACGGTGTAATTTGTTTTCTTACTCTGAAATTATTATAAATTGCCGTTTTGCATGAAAATAAGCAAAATGTGATATTACCATGCACAAAAACTATTTCCCTCGCGTTATTCATTGTGTTCTAATAGTTAATGAGACCACTATCACTCCAAATTTCATTGAAAGGTAACGAGGTCATTAATAGTTAGGCGGATGGCTTGATCTTACACTGTAAATGTATCTGACACGAAGTCTTCCTATCTCTCAAGGATTGTATTAAGATTGAAAAAAAAAAGCTAAGCGGCCTCTTATTGCTATCAATTACCAATATTCTCGGAATTTCGCCGGGCATATTCGTAACGTAACGATCCCTTTTAATTATTGAATTGTGTGCTCGAGAGCCATCAAAGTGTCAGAGGAGGTTTGCCGACCTGGCGGTGAAGGAAACATGCTATTCATTTCAAAGTTGGTTTTGAAGGATCTGTCAAGTTTTGAGGTTGCCTTTCATCTCCGCCAGATTTTGGTGTTGCAGTGTTTGGGTTCTGTTACAAGTTCTGAGTATTAAACAGACGGTCGGCCAGTCAAAGGAGCGATATTTGTAAGTTTAAACAGCATTTATTCATCCGCATACTTTAATGTTCTTGTTGTGTACATGTCGAGTATTTCATACTAACTGTGTATTTTATACTGTGATGTTTTGGAAGTTTGGCAGGGGCGTATTGATTTGAAAGTCTTCCTTTGTCTTTCTGTAAACGTTTTTTATAGTTAAATTTGGGCAAAACAACCACCAGAGGAAATCACCTGGTTTTGATCGCCGAAGCCTATAAAAAGCGCCATCCTCAAAGGCAAAGTGACAAAGTGACACATTATTGACTGAGTTAAAGTCTGCTTAAGATTTTTGGCATCTACATTCATTTGATTGGGACAATGTCAAAACCTCCATTGAGTAGGACCACAAACTCGGCCCAATCCACGACTCCACCAGCTGCCGCTGAGCCAGGTCCCGATTGGCCCGTAGCGAAAAAGCTTTGGGGAATTGCTTGGGAGTTCCATTGGGCTGGACTGGGGACTCTCTTCAGTATATTAGCCGTACGCTCTTTCCTCGTTCTAGCGCAAGTTCGAACCAGACAGGGATTTGGCCGAAAGCCCTTGTTTATAGCCATAAACTCTTTGCTTTTTACTTTAGGTGCAACGAGAGCCTTGTTTTTATTTCTTGACCCTTACTCCTCAGCAGAAAATGGGATTGAAATCCCACCCTGGATATCAACATTAGTTTTTGGCATAACCTATCCCTGTTTGACATCTTCCTTCTGTTTGATTCACTTGGCTTTTATTGAAGTGGCAAAGATCCAGCTTGGATCTAAAAGGCTCCAAGATGTTCGCTTTTTAGGTGGTATCATTGGAATTCACTTTGCCATCGTAATAACTGCAGAAACAACAACTGCCCTCAAACCCGATTTTGCATCGTTGCTGATCATATGCCAATCATTCTTCATCCTCTGGGGCCTTATACTGTCTGCGAGCTTTATCTACAGTGGTTTGAAAGTCATCAATCAAGCTTCGAGAGTACAAAAACAAATCGAGAGCATCGAACTTGGAAATAGCACAATCAGAAGAACATCTAAAAGACCAAGGAAAACATCAAAAGTTGCTAAAGTAACTCTTGTAACGAGTGTTTTGGGATTTGTTTGTTGTGGACTGCAGATTTATTCAATGTTCGGTGTTTATGGATTGTATAGTAAAGTTGTTAATCCGTCTCCTTGGCCATGGTGGGTGTTTCAAACGTGTTTTCGGTTGGTTGAATTCGTTATGGCTTGTACACTAGCCTACAGTGTGACGCAACCTGTGAAACCCGGAAACATGGCCAAAAACTGAGAATATAAACTGGTATAAAGTGACCAAACGTAAACTTTGGAGGGTGCTTCAATTTTCACGTTCTTAATTATTTCACTAACAGTGAATTGGATCTTTCAGCTGGCTCCAAAAACATCAAACTGTGATAACTTTGATTACATGAATTCTCAGTTCTACCCCATAACTACAATTTAAGAGTCGTTGTACAAAGCTTTTGTCTCAGCACCAAAAAGTTATGTTACAAACCAAGTAAGAACTTGAATAAATTAATAACTTTTTTTTACCTTTTCTTGCCTCTTGACCCTAATGCTGTTTCTTAATATCTAAAGAAAATATCTCCGATAACGCTTGACATCTGACTGTATGCTGCTCAATTTAGTAACATGGGTTAATTTTTGCAATCGGTTAAGTTTAGCGAGTAAAGATGTACAATACCTGAGTGTACCGAGAGTTAAACCACTGTATTTTGAGACCTGGGCGCCTGCGCACATGTTGGACTAAACCCCAATGAGCTCTCACACTGCCCTACAAACTTGTTTATTGACGAGCAGAGGATGATTAAGCGTGAATTGTTATAGTGTGCGAAAAAAAAGCACCTTAAAGTTTAAAACTAGTAGTATGGTTATAATGAATGAAATTTCTTATTTCAAAACACATTTATGACGAGTGAGAGGGCTAATATGCAGTAGACAAACAGATACAGCAGTGGACGTGACAAAATTACCTGAGATAACACCAAGATGCTTAGTCAGGCACAACCGTGTGTATACAATTCCTAGTATATTCACGACTAAGAGACGAGAATGGGTGTGCAGATCGAACTATGGAGCCCGAGTGTTTTTAACACTCAGGCCGTCCAAATAACATACAAAGCTCAACATCATAACTAAAGAGTGGTATACAAATATTCCTTAAATAAAGTCACTCAGGCTAAACTATCCACGTGCGCCGCCTCATACGAAAACCCAAAAACCCAATGGGAAAAAATTGGGAACGTATTCCCCAACCGATGCAGTCGCACAACCTCTGGGGGTTAAAGGTAAAAAATCAATCGATAGATGAATAAAGTAAGATATAAAAATAAAAGTTGATAGTTCGAAATACATTTTATGTGCACGGCACAAAACATATCATCTTATTAAAGTGGCGTGAAGAATTTCAGAAGAAGTTCAGTATTTAGCATGCCATGAGCAGGTGAATTCAGCGGATCCCATAAAGCTATACAACAAGGACATTGTTTATTCACTTATTGTTTGGTTTCATATGTCGCCGCCTCTTACCTTAGCCATCCTTTTTCAGTCGGCATATTTTAATTCACTGTTTGAGATAGAGTCCGCTGGGTTCAAGCACATGAAAGTCACAGTCTTTGGATTTTCTTTGTAGTTTTGTATTTTTTTTGGTCACGTTCTTTTTACAGATTCAGTCAAAACCCCACGAAATCGCACCATAAAACAGAAAACAAACAAATGTGAACAAGCAATATTAAGTCTTGCTTTGCATACCTAGTATATATAAACACTAATGTTGTGAAACGAACGATTTACCACATCCAGAACAGATAAAGCACGTTTCAGACGAAGGTGGTCGACCAATTTAACGGTGCAGTTAACGCGCGCAAAGTTAAATAATGGGCGACGTTCACAGTCTGTTTCTACAATGCCGAGCTCACTGCACTAACAACTGACAATTTACCTGTTCACGAACCTCTGGTCGCAGATAGCGAACCAGGCCCATCCTACTGGCAAGAGGCGAAGCAACTGTTGGGACTTGCATGGGAGTTCCACTGGGCTGGGTTTGGTTTCCTACTGTACGTTTTAGCGGTGCGCTCTGTCTTTGTTTTAGCGCAAATTCAAGCGAGAAAGGGTTTTGGACGAAGGCCATTTTTTTTAGGCGTAAAGATTTTGCTTGCTATTTTAGGAACAACGCGCGCATTGTTCTTATTTTTTGATCCCTACTCGTCTGGAGAAAATGCATGCCGGGTGTTCTGAATACCCAGGTGGCTTTCAAGACTTGTTTACGGTATAGCCTTTCCTTCTTTGACGCCTTCGTTTTGTTTGATCCATCTGGCTTTCCTGGACGTCACCAAGATTAAACTAGGGTCTAAAAAGCTTCAAAGTGCACGCTTTGTTGGTGGTGTTATAATATCTCATTTCGCTCTGGAAATAATGGCGGCAGTTGCAAGTGGCCTCAAACAGGGGCACCCAACGAGAATATAGTTCAAAACCACTTCAACATAGCATTTTTAAACGTATTTTAGTTTAAGCATATTTTTATCTCCTAAAGATTTTTCATCTGCTCGGATTTCCTAGTCTAGTGATTCGAAAATTATGGGGACCAAAACTTACATTTTCAAAAATTTCAGCCAGAAAAAATGCTCCCGAAAATTGTAGGTAACCATTTTAGGGTAAAAATCCGTTAAAAATGGGCAGTTGTCTATTTTTTACATGTTCGAAGATCCTAGGAGAGGCATACAAGCAAAAAATTTTGCAAAACATGTTCAGAAAATTCTAGATCTCAAATCGTCTTCCGGAACAGATATTTTCCGAAAATTGTCGTTGGGTGCCCCTGCTTAAACCAATTCTAGCGCCGTCCCAGATCTTTTGTGAGGCTTTCTTCATTATCTGGGGGTCTCTATTGTCAGCGAGTTTCATTTACAGTGGATTGAAACTCATTCATCGCGATGGGAATGTACAGAAGCAACTGGAAGCTATCGTAATCGGACAAAGTACTTCAAGGACGGATGGACGGTGAGGCAGAGAAAGAACCTGGAAAGTGGCAAAAATTACGATTGCAACAAGTATTCTGGGTTTTTTGTTGCTGTGGACTCCAGCGTTATTTAATGTTCGGCGTTTACAATTTCTATAGTCATGTATAGTAAAGTTAAAACTCCGTCTCCTTGGCCATGGTGGTTTTTCCTTACAGGTTTCCGGTTGTTTGAATTCTGTATGGCTCGTACAATAGCCTACAGCGTGACGCAAAGGCCGCGAAACATGAACAACGAGGGACATACATAGACGCTGTTAGACTGTTATTGTCAGTTCATTGAAAGATTGAAAGGAAAATTTGACTCACGTTCAGCTAGGCCACGATTGAACTGGTCGGGCTGTAATTTTAAGTGAATTAGATGGTTCTCTCTTTCATTATAAAGCACCGAAATTTAATATTTAAAAACCCAGCCGAAAGCAAGACCGTCTTACCTTTAGGCTTAAGGGGTTCACGACGCTTAAATTTAGGTGAATTTATCACTGCGGAAACAAATCCAAAGGCACCCGATAGCAGAGATGATTTTTGCAATGACCTTTAAAAAAAGCATTTTCTAATTAGCGTCTCTAAGTTACAAGTCGCAAGCAAAGGTAATCTCTTTAAGCAAACGCCCTGACCTTGACTTAAGCGAACAACGAAGTATACAGTCCCTAAAATCAAAATGCATGTCCAAAATATTGGAAGCAACGTTAAGCTTTTCCACTGAGTGGAGATCTGAACGGCAACCAAGAGCTATTTTCCAAACATATGTATTCATTCTTACAGTCATTTACCAGTCTTAAATTATTACAAAGAATAACTGACACATGATTAAAGAAACTCTGAAGAAACCAGGCCTTTTGACAAAAGGTCGTATTAAATGCACCCTACTAGCCATCGCCGTGCAAATATCTTCCAGTCTCTTTCTCTCCGATATATTTAGGCTGAATCTTAAGTTTCTCCATTGAAATCAAAAAGTTCAGTTGTGATTGTATTCAACATACTACTCGGCTCACGTGTCAAGTCATGTGTAATCTAACGGCAGCAATTTTGCTACCCAGCCGTAACCAGTAACCTCCGGTCCATGTACAGTGCGGAAGTCTAAACTGTAGCTGCTGAGTGGAGCTGGAGAATTTTTATGATCATGTAGGTTTGATCCAACATCAGCTAAAAAGTGGCATGAAATGTGAATTTTCCAATTCAAACAAGTTCATATTTATAAACGACGGCGCAATATTCAGTTTTTTAATTTTAGTTGAAGTTGTCCTCTTGACTGATATAGTTAGGTATCGCCCGTCTCTGTCACAGACCGCTCAGGAAAACAGATTTTTAAAGGTTTCTTTTCTTTTTTTGCCCAAAAAAAGTTGTCTCAGGTTTCCGTTAAAGAATAGTTGGAAGTTGGAAGTTGGAAGTTGGAAGTTAGAAGTTGGAAGTCGGAAGTCGGAAGTTGGAAGACCCTTCTCGGCTTTCGTAGTTTTGAGCAAGATATGACATGGCTCATGTACATATTGTAGTCCAAATTTATCCTTGGTTTTAAGTTTTTTCTTTGTTTCATAAACTCATTATCTTACGTAACCTTGGCACTCAAACAAAGGAAAAACCCATTTAAGTCAGGGATAATTTAATTGATCCACAACATACATTCCTGCATAGGCCTTTCACTTAAAGCAAGCATTGCCCCCGAGAAAGTGGAACGGCTTCCCGCCGGCACGAAAACAGCTCGGTTATGCTGATGGCGGAGTAAATAATACAGAACATGCTAGTATTATCATGGCACGTTCTCCTGGTGTGTCCGTGTCTGAACGTAAGCAATAGCTTCAACACTGAGCTGCCGGGCGTTTCCGGGTCATGTCACGGTTTGCTTCTGGCCTTTTTTATCCTTGAAAAGTGGTTTAAATGAAGACGATAATTACTCATACTCTATTTATAACACCTATTTTGTATCACTATAAAGCGACACTAAAAGATGAAGTGGTACCGCCAGTGCTAAGTTTGATGGCTTGAGTTAAGTGCACCAGAGAGTTGACTTGCCATCTCTTGAAGATTGTATTTTGATTATTAATAAGGACAGTGATAGAAAGAAGCATTAATTGTAAGTGGCTGAGCATTCATTTTTCTTTAACTACTTGCTGTATTTGTTGCGTGTCGAGTATTTGATTATAGTTTTAGCACTGAATACAACTAATTATGTATGTATCTTGATATCTTTCATGATGTGGACGTTTGAAGGGAAGGCATTGATTTGAAGGTTTTTCTAAAAACTTTTTTGTAGTTAAAACTGGACAAAGAATCGTCAGTGAACACTCAGGAAAGTGAACGGGATAGATTTGATCGAAAAAGCCTAAAAGTGATCGACTTCTTGCAAAGTTTCAAAAATCATTCTTCTCAATATAACAGATTATTGACGGACTTGATTTCATTGCAGATAATGATGAACTGTCATTAAATAAAACGACAAACTCTACCCAATCCACGACAACACCGCCAGCCGCTACCTGGTTTTGATCGCCGAAGCCTATAAAAAGCGCCATCCTCACAGGCAGAAGTGACAAAGTGACACATTATTGACTGAGTTAAAATCTGCTAAAGATTTTTGGCATCTAGTTCATTTGATTGGGACAATGTCAAATCCATTGGGTACGATCACAAACTCGACCCAATCCACGACTCCACCAGCTGCCGCCGAGCCAGGTCCCGATTGGCCTGTAGCGAAAAAGCTTTGGGGATTTGCTTGGGAATTCCATTGGGCTGGACTGGGAACTCTCTTCAGTGTCTTAGCAGTACGCTGTTTCCTTGTTCTACTGCAAGTTCGAACCAGACAGGGATTTGGTCGAAAGCCCTTGTTTATAGCCATAAACTCTTTGCTTTTTACTTTAGGTGCAACGAGAGCCTTGTTTTTATTTCTTGACCCTTACTCCTCAGCAGAAAATGGGATTGAAATCCCACCCTGGATATCAATATTGGTTTTTGGCATAACCTATCCTTGTTTGACATCTTCCTTCTGTTTGATTCACTTGGCTTTTATTGAAGTGGCAAAGATCCAGCTTGGATCTAAAAGGCTCCAAGATGTTCGCTTTTTAGGTGGTATCATTGGAATTCACTTTGCCATCGTAATAACTGCAGGAACAACAATTGCCCTCAAACCCGATTCTGCATCGTTATTGCTGATCATATGCCAATTATTCTTCATCCTCTGGGGCCTTATACTGTCTGCGAGCTTTATCTACAGTGGTTTGAAAGTCATCAATCAAGCTTCGAGAGTACAAAAACAAATCGAGAGAATCGAACTTGTACATAGCACAATCAGAAGAACATCTAAAAGACCAAGGAAAACATCAAAAGTTGCTAAAGTAACTCTTGTAACGAGTGTTTTGGGATTTGTTTGTTGTGGACTGCAGATTTATTCAATGTTCGGTGTTTATGGATTGTATAGTAAAGTTGTTAATCCGTCTCCTTGGCCCTGGTGGGTATTTCAAACGTGTTTTCGGTTGGTTGAATTCGTTATGGCTTGTACACTAGCCTACAGTGTGACGCAGCCTGTGAAACCCAGAAACATGGCCAAAAACTGAGAATATAAACTGGTATAAAGTGACCAAACGTAAACTTTGGAGGGTGCTTCAATTTTCACGTTCTTAGTTATTTCACTAAGGTGAAATGGATCCTTCAGCCGGCTCCCAAAACATCAAACTGTGATAACTTTGATTGCATGTATTCTCAGGTCTACCCCATAACTACAATTTAAGAGTCACTGTACAAAGCTTTTGTCTCAGCACCAAAAAGTTAAGTTACAAACCAAGCAAAAGCTTGAATAAATTAATAACTTTTTTTAACTTTTCTTGCCTCTTGACCCTAATTGTGAATCTAAATATGAAAGAGAATATCTCCAATAACGCTTGATATCTGACTGTATGCTGCTCAATTTAGCAACTGCTATCACCGAGCCCGTCCGTAACAAGGTGCAGATTTACTTCCCGAACATTTATCATTTTCATAGGGCATGGCGCAACATGGGTTAATTTTTGCAATCAGTTAAGTTTAGCAAGTAAAGATGTACAATACCTGAGTACGCCAAGAGTTAAGCCATGTTTTTAGAGATCTGGGAGTCTACGCGCAAGTTGGACTAAACCCCAATGAGCTCTCACACTACCCAGCAAACTTGTTTATTGACGAGCAGAGCATGATTAAGCGTGAATTGTTATCTTGTGCGGAAGAAAAACGCACCTTAAAGTTTAAAACTATTCACAGTAGATGATTATAATGAATGAAATTTCTTATTTCAAACCACATTTATGACGAGCGTGTGGGCTAATATGCAATAGACAAACAGATACAGCAGTGGACGTGACAAAATTACCTGAGATAACACCAAGATGCTTAGTCAGGCACAACATGTGTATACAATTTATGTACACACAAAACATTTAACAATTAATGAATGAGGCTAAGCATTGCTTATGAAGAATTGTGGAGATCGAGGAGGGTGTTATCTGTCGAGGCCGTAGGCCGAGGCGGATGACACCCTCCGAGATCTCCATAATTCTTCATATGATACGAAAGCCGAATTCGATAATTGTTTTACTATTCATTCAAAATAATTCCTAGTTCAAAAACATGGCTAAAACATGCTTACCTCCATCGACCCATCGATGTTAAGTTCATCTTCGATAGTGTACGTTTAGGGGTTGTTTAGCTCCGCAAATATTCTCCACATAGCAGATGTCGCCCTTCGAGTTGTCTTCTTACTGTTCTTGCCATATTTTTTTTTAGCTATTTTCGCCTAGTTCTTACTCTTGAAACGAGTGAAATGTCCATCATTTTTCAAGTTCACAACGAAAACAACTCAACCTCGTCCTAAGGTCTTCTTTGTTAACGGTGCATTAACCTGCAAGAACGCTGCATTTTTGACGTCATTTCCTCACTAAACACAAAATTCTTCCAAATTTGGTCGTCAGAAACTGGCTATGGTGAATTAAATGTGTGCTTTTAGCCAATCAGAATCGGGGAAATATTTTGAATAAATAATAAATCATCTTATTGAACTGGCGTGAAGAATTTCAGAAGAAGTTCACTATTTAGCATGCCATGCGCAGGTGAATTCAGCGGATCCCATAAAGCTATATAACAAGGACATTGTTTATTCACTTATTGTTTGGTTTAATATGTCGCCGTCTCTTACCTTAGCCATCCTTTTTCAGTCCGCACATTAATTCAGTGTTTGAGATAGAGTCCGCTCGGCTCAAGCGCATGAAAATCATAGTTTGTGGATCTTCTTTGTAGTTTTCTGTTTTTTTTTGGTCACGTTCTTTTTACAGATTCAGTCAAAACCCCACGAAATCGCACCATAAAACAGAAAACAAACAAATGTGAACAAGCAATATTTAGTCTTGCTTTGAATACCCAGTATATATAAACACTAAAATTGTCAAACGAACGATTTACCACATCCAGAACAGATAAAGCACGTTTCAGACGAGGGTGGTCGACCAATTTAAAAGCGCAGTTAACGCTCGCAAAGTTAAATAACGGGCGACGTTGACAGTCTGTTTCTACAATGCCGAGCTCACTAACAACTGACAATTTACCTGTTCACGAACCTCTGGTCGCAGATAGCGAACCAGGCCCATCCTACTGGCAAGAGGCGAAGCAACTGTTAGGACTTGCATGGGGGATCCACTGGGCTGGGTTTGGTTTCCTACTGTGCGTTTTAGCGGTGCGCTCTGTCTTTGTTTTAGCGCAAATTCAAGCGAGAAAGGCCATTTTTTTTAGGCGTAAACATTTTGCTTGCTATTTTAGGAACAACGCGTGCATTGTTCTTATTTGCTGATCCCTACTCGTCTGGAGAAAATGGTGTTTCAAGACTTGTTTACAGTATAGCCTTTCCTTCTTTGACGTCTTCGTTTTGTTTGATCCATCTGGCTTTCCTGGATGTCACCAAGATTAAACTAGGGTCTAAAAAGCTTCAAAGTGCACGCCTTGTTAGTGGTGTTATAATATCGCATTTCGCTCTGGAAATAATGGCGGCAGTTGCAAATGCAAACTCTGGCGAAACCAGGCCTTTTGACAAAAGGTCGTATTAAATGCACCGTCTTTGCCATCGTCGTGCAAATATCTTCCAGTCTCTTTCTCTCCGATATATTTAGGCTGAATCTTTTGTTTCTCCATTGAAAACAAAAAGTTCAGTTGTGAATTGTATTCAACATACTACTCGGCTCACGTGTCAAGTCATGTGTAATCTAACGGCAGCAATTTTGCCAGCCATCCGTAACCTGTAACCTCCGGTCCATTGTACAGTGCGGAAGTCTAAACTGTAGCTGCTGAGTGGAGCTAGAGTATTTTTATGATCATGTAGGTTTAATCCAACATCAGCTATAAGTGGCATGAAATGTGAATTTTCCAATTCAAACAAGTTCATATTTATAAACGACGGCGTAATATTCAGTTTTTAATTTTATTTGAAGTTGTCCTCTTGACTGATATAGTTAAGTATCGCCCGTCTCTGTCACAGACCGCTCAGGAAAACAGATTTTTAAAGGTTTCTTTTTTTTTTTGAACAAAAAAAGTTGTCTCAGGTTTCCGTTAAAGAATAGTTGGAAGTTGGAAGTCGGAAGCTGGAAGACACATCTCGGCTTTCGTAGTTTTGAGCAGGATATGACATGACTCATGTACATATTGTAGTTTAAATTTATCCTTGGTTTTAATTTTTTTCTTTGTTTCATAAACTTATTATCTTACGTCACCTTGGCACTCAAACAAAGGAGAAACCCATTTAAACCAGGGACAAACTGATTGATCCACAACATACATTCCTGCATAGGCCTTTCACTTAAAGGAGCGGGACATTGGGGGGTACTCAATATCGCAATACCGTAAGAAAAATTGGCAAATACCTAAATACCTTGTTGAAAATCGATAGGAAATACCGATACCGCAATTATGATCGTTCACGCTTACTTAAAGTTGTAGCAATCTCGCGTGTCTGTTTATTTCAAGCATGTATGCACCAGCAATCAACCTCAGCGATTGCGAAAAAACGTGAGAAGACCTCAAATTGATCGGTACAACCATCTAAAAATCTCGGTCGTTAGATAATCTTGGATTCCCTACCAGTTTTTAAAAAAAAAATATTGACCTGCTTTAGACAGGAAAGCGAAAGTGAACAGTACCGTAAATTACCGTGAAGGGTCTTCTTTTATCGAATACCGTTACCCAAAAGGATGAAAAACCGCATACCGCAGGGCAAGATGATACCGCACTACCGCAAATTAAAATCAAAATCACCGAAATACCGCTTGAAAAAAAGCTTAATACCGCAATACCGTAAACCCCCATGTCCCCTTCTTAAAGCAAGCATTGCCCCCGAGAAAGTGGAACGGCTTCCCGCCGGCACGAAAACAGCTCGGTTATGCTGATGGCGGAGTAAATAATACAGAACATGCTAGTATTATCATGGCACGTTCTCCTGGTGTTCCTGTTTTCAGCAGTACTAGTTTTCTATTCATTCGTGTGTGAACGTAAGCAAAGAGCTTCAGCACTGAGCTGCCGGGTGTTTCCGGGTTCATGTCAGTTTGCTTCTGGCCTTTGTTATCCTTGAAAAGTGGTTTGAATGAAGACGATAATTACTCAAACTCTATTTATAACACCTATTTTGTATCACTATAAAGCGACACTGAAAGATGAAGTGGTACCGCCAGTGCTAAGTTTGATGGCTTGAGTTAAGTTTACCAGAGAGTTGACTTGCCATCTCTTGAGGATTGTATTTTGATTATTAATAAGGACAGTGATAGAAGGAAGCATTATTTGTAAGTGGCTGAGCATTCATTTATCTTTAACTACTTGCTGTATTTGTTGCGTGTCGAGTATTTGATTATAGTTTTAGCACTGAATACAACTAATTATGTATGTATCATGATATCTGTGATTCTGTGGACGTTAGTAAGGAAGGCGTTGATTTGAAGGTTTTTCTAAAACCTTTTTGTAGTTAAAACTGGACAAAAGAATCGTCAGTGAACACTCAGGGCAGTGAACGTAATACATTTGATCGAAAAAGCCTAAAAGTGATCGCCGTCTTCCAAAGTTTCAAAAATCATTCTTCTTAATATAACACATTATTGACGGACTTGATTTAATTGCAGATAATGTTTAACTGTCAATTAAATAGAACGACAAACTCTACTCAATCCACGACAAGACCACCAGCTGCTGAGCCAGTTCCTGATTGGAGTAAAGCGAGAGAGTATTGGAATATCGCTTGGGAGTTCCATTGGGCTGGACTGGGGACTCTCTTCAGTGTCTTAGCAGTGCGTTCTTTTCTCGTTCTAGCGCAAGTTCGAACCAGGCAGGGATTTGGCCGAAAACCCTTGTTTATAGCCATAAACCTTTTGCTTTTTATTTTGGGAGCAACGCGAGCTTTGTTTCTCTTTCTTGACCCATACTCGTCGGCGACCAATAATATTGAAATCCCAGGCTGGATATCGACTTTGGTTTTCGACTTAGCCTATCCTTGTTTGACATCTTCGTTCTGCTTGATTCACTTGGCTTTTATTGAAGTGGCAAGGATACAGGTTGGGCC